TTGATCTGGACTGGGCTGGGATGTTTTCTTAATATATAATTACTCTTTATATAAAGTTCTTTCTTATATATATGAGTGTCTCTGGATTTGTTTCTCTAGTCAACCTGGACTAACACAAGTATCTTCTTAGGATATTTCACTGTCTATACAATCTATATCAATGTCCCTTTTCTCATTCCTGCCACCAATTATTCATGCTTTTTTCTTGTTTAGTCTCAAGAGAAGTTTATCAATCTTATTAGTCTTTTCAAACAGCCATTACAACTTTTGCTGTCTATCCTTAATTTCTCATTCATTAGTCTATACTTCTGGGATGGTACCTATGTCATTATTTTTAAACCAGGGTTGATGTTAATGGATGCTAACTTTTTAAGCTATAGATTTATGTTTTGGAATGCTAAATTGAGCTCTATGTAAATAAACATTGCAATAACAAATATTTACCCAGAAATTCCAGAAAATAACCCCAAAATAGGACTTAGAAAACCTTGTAGAAACAATGTTGCCCCAACCCCATCAACCACCTACCACTTTATCTGGCTAAATTTTAGTTTCCACAATTCTGAATGTGCAGTATGTACATCTAAAAAATTTTAGAGTTCCCCAGACACATGGAGAATGGAATCTGATTTGGATTAACTTGTGACTGATTGCCAACTACAGTCCCTGAATCAGTGTAGAAGGTAAAAACACAAAACAAATACCATTAGGAAGTCAGAGAGTTTGGAGGTTAAGAACCAGCTCAGACCTAGGGCAACAGCCTGTGCTTCTTTTGTTCTCCACCTGCACACATTTTGACATCATCTTTGTATGAAAACACAAAAGGGTGGAGGTAAAACATTTAAAAAGCAAAGCAAGACTAAAATGCTTACCAGTTCCTTCATCTGCACCATTCTGAGTGGCTTCCCAAACTGCTGGTTTTGTCCCACATCCATCTGAGGATAAAGGATCTGAATAGTCCGCAGGATTAAATGTTCTGGGGTGAAAATAAAGAATAAAGGCAAATGAAGCAAGCATCAAAGCCACAAAGCTGACTGTACATGATCTTCCCCGAGCAAGTCCAGTTTCTTCACACAGCAACACCAAAAGACTTGGCCCTTAGTCCCCTATTCAATTATAGCTTATTCATCAGGTTACTACCAAGGTCAAAAACAGATGCCTCTGCACCTGGAAGAAGGTGGTGGCAAGATCACTGTGTGCAAACAAGAGATCCGCTTCCAGGACACCAAGCCCACACTGAAGAAGAAAACAAGTTTCTTTGTTCCAAAATCAAAATCCAATTTTGATTTGTTTAATCTTTACCATAAAATTGTATGTTCCTTATTTCTAGGAAGAAATCACTAATTGGTGCAGTTAAAGTGATTGGCTGTTCACTACAAGGGTCGAGGTTTGAGTCCACCCAGAGGCACCTTAAGTAAAACCCTATCAAGCTACCCAATACCTCAGACACTGAAAACTCTACGAATCACAAGTGGGCCCGAGTCAGAACTGACTCTAGAAAAAGTGGTTGTTTTTTCTGTGTAGAAATGTTAAGTATAAAAAATTTTTAAAAAAAGCAAAGAAATGTTAAGTATAAATAGCTGAATGTTTTGTTTAATATCCTCCATTTTCATTAAAATCTTAAGCTAACCTCTTACTCTGAAAACATAAGAAATCATGATTTGAGTTTTTAAACAAAGGCCAAAATAAATAACTATCTTTGAAATGTTCACCAAAAAAGTACTTTTTAAAACAACCATAAAAAACACAGAGCACGTATGAGCCCCCAATAAAATGATTTTAAAACAGTAACAAAAAAGCACAGAGCAGTTTAGAGCTTAAGGGGTCAAACATAAATGTTTTAGTGTTTGCTCCCGGTGTTTTCATCCCTCCCTTTTGAAAAAAGCAGAAAGGTCTGGGTGAAATTAGGGATGCCCAGAGGTACTACCACCTATAGAGGGCGCTGGCCCAACAGGACTGCGCTGAAGCTCCTGGAGACAAAAGCCTATTCCTTTTCTTCCTTGTCCTCCATCTATTATGTTAAAAATTTAGCTTCTCTAAAAGTCCAGTGGAAACGAATCCTTTAGAAAAGTGGTTCAACCTTCCTAATGCAGTGACCCGACCCTTTCATACAGTTCCTCATGTGGTGATGACCCCCAACCATAACATTATTTTCGTTGTTACTTCATCACTGTAATTTTGCTGTTATGAATCGTAATGTAAAATATCTAATATGCAGGGTGTATTTTCATTGTTACAACTTGAACATAATTAAAGCATAGTGATTAATCACAAAAAATAATATGTAATTATATATTGTGAAATATTCATTTCTAATGACAAATAAATTAAATTTTGTCTTGAAGCATGGTGCAGCATGGGTACAGTCTTAAGAGAACAACAGTAAACTACATTGCTACATTTTGTGACAGTATGCGTAAAAAGCCAACGTCTTTGTTCCTAAGGTCATCGGAAATATGTGTTTTCCAATGGTCTTGAGCGACCCCTGTGAAAGGGTCGTTTGACACCACTCCCCCCAAAGGGATTGCAACCCACAGGTTGAGAAATGCTGCTTTAGAAGCAGCAGAAAAGTAAAAAATATATATCCATAAGTCTTAAATAAACTGCTGATTAAACGTATTTAGTGATAGTATGCCCATCCTTTAGTACCATGATTCAGGGGAACAAAGATCACTTTTACGTAAGCTTTGTGTTTACTTAGCACTCAAAGAGTCTTACCAATAAAACTCCTAAGGTTCCAAACAGTTCTCAAAGGAGCAGGTCTCAATCAGGGATGAGTGTTCCTCCAGGGAGAATTTTACAACATGTGGGGAACATTTTTTATATTCTTATTGGTCGGTACTAACCCCAAAGTCCGTTGTTCATTCCTAGCAACCACTCTCCATAGTAGAAAAAGGAGGATGCCTGCTCTATAAAGATTCACAGTCTCTGGTACCCAAAAGCACCAGATCTATTCTGTCCTTTAGGGTTGCTATGAGTCAAATCAATGGCTGTGGAATTCAGTGTTTTGTTTTTTTGTTTTATAATGCTTTGAATGGTAGGCAAGGAGATGGAGTGAGTGCTTCTGATATGTAGTAGACAGAAACCAGGGATATTGCTAAACAACTTAAATTGCCCCCTGATAATGCCTGCTTCAAACACGAAATTGTCCAATCAAAATGTCCAAATGCCAAGGGAGAGAAGCCCTGCTCTATTATCTATTAAAATATCAATTTTTTCTACTTCACTTGTTAATAAGCTTCTTTTAAGTATTAAAAACACCCAAATCACTAGTGGTAAAATTGGTATAGGAAGAAGGGGAGAAACCAGAGTAAAAAGGCAGCAACTACAAATGTAGGACTGTTTGACTTACCCCATTCCTTGAGTAGAGAACCTTCCTCCCCCTCTCCCTCTGCCACGTCCAAGTCCTTTCAAAGGAAAGAAACAAATACAGCTCATGTCCCGCACATACTGCTACCGACTTCATTCTACACACTCCTCTACCCAAACAGTACTGTCACTATTCCTGTCAACATCAACATCTCATCCAGTGCATCTGACCTACTGGTCCCTGCTGGCACAACTACCTACCCAGTAAGTAACCCAAGTGCTATAGGACAGCATCTAATTCGGCTTGTACAATATCTGTGGTATGCTGCAGCTTAACACAATGTAAAAAGTAATAATATTTTATTTTAGTTTTATAAAATAAAGTAGGTCTTTTAAAATCAGAAAGTGCAAACATCATAACATAAGGCTCTCTTTTCATTTGAAAGAAAACCAGAAGGAGAGCAATCACTAAGTCACTGCATGCTGTGTTCTATCACTTTTAGCACATTACCCCTGAACCAGCAGTCACGATGGCAGCAAGTCTGCGTCCGGGGCAGAATTAGATGAAGGGAGAGAATGGAAGGAGCTCCTGTGTCTCCAGAGATGGTCGTTTATATGCAACTTAATAAAAAACTAACAAGTCCATTCTGACTCATAGGGTTCCTATAGGGTTTCTGAAGTTTTCTGTAAATCTTCCCAGGCACCAACGGCCTGATCCCTCTCCCCCACTGCCGATGGTGGGTTTAAATTGTTGACCTGCCAGTTAGTAGTCTACCTCTCACCAAACAACGCCACCAAGGCTCCAAACAAGCATAAATCAGAAATCCCCCTTTCTTTACAAAATCTCAAAAGTGATTTTTTTTTTTTTTAAGTAGACCACAAGTTTACCTGGTGAGGGCAATAGGCCCACCAGTCTACCTCCACCCCACAAGGTTTAGTAGCATAATGTCTGTAACAACATTTACCCCTGAGGCCCAGAGGAGATGGACAGGGCCCTTGAGTTACAGTGTTTCTGTGGCAGCCTGTAGGGCCAGTGCTCCCATGTATGGGGCAAGGCACTGAATATGACACAGCTGTAAAAAGAGGAAGAAAAAAATTTTATTTTACTATTTTAAAGGCCTGTCTCAAGGCCCAGACTGACTAAGGTTACCTTTCTTCAGTTTCAAGGACCCAAGGTTTGCCAGAGGTAAACCACAACTATACCGAATACAAACTTCATCTAGGAAGACACCTTTCATCCATCAGATTTGGGTAAGAAAACAATCCAAATTTAGGAATAAGACAGTTTAATATTAGTGTTAATTTTTAATAATTAAAAAACCTGTCTATTAAACGAGAGCTAATTCTTAAGACGTAAAACATTTAATTATATAAAAAGCTAAAAGAACAAAGCTTAAATAAAAATAAAATAGTGAGCAATGGCGTTTTATTGGGCCATAAATGAAGTACTGAATAGGTTACAAAACAGATGAAACTTGACGGCATTATATTAAGTTATATTAAGTTAAAGCCGGCAGTCCCCATATGATGCCATTTTTATGAAATACCCAAAACACGCAAAAATAGAATGGTGGTTGCCTGGAGCTGGTGGAGGGAAATAGGGGGTGGCTGCTAAAAGGTACAAGGTTTCTTTTTGGGGTGATGAAAATGTTCTGAGAGTTGCACAATTCTGTGACTATGTTAAGTAGCAGCGAAGTGTACCTTTAAATGGTGAATTGTATGATTTGTTACAAAAGGAAAACAAAAAACACAACTGATCCTGCTAAGTGGATTCATGGGGACCCATTTTAACAGAAATTCTATTTCAGTGTCATCCATGTGGCAAATAGCACTAACCATGGTTAAATATTAATAGGGGCCAGTTTTTAAAGGGGGAGTCTGCTAAGAAATCATTAAACAATATCAAAAAATACTTGAGTTGCAAAGCAAAATAAACAGGAAAGAGTGGCAAGGTGGGAATTTATGAGACATACAAATCCTAAGGCCAGAAAGTTAAAAAAGGAAACTCTGCAAGTGTGCTGGAAAAGGTCAGCATCAACAACAGCAGCTGCGTCCAAGTCTCCACTTCAAACAACTCAGATAGCTTCAGTAGATTGCCGCAAACTGCCCCGTCAGCTAGAGGAAGATGGCAAAACTGTTCTCTTCCTCATACTACCAGCAACATGCGTCCTAGGTGTGCTCACTTCCCTGAAACCATTTTCTCATCTAACAGCCCAGGGAAGGACCAAGGCCCTTTCAATGGAAAAAATATGTAAGTCCAATGTTTCAGAAGATTATTCTAAAGAATAAATCAGTGCTTTGGTAACTCTTACATTTTTCCCCCAGGACAGGGACTCTACAACATCTATACTGAGCAAATGCTCAAATTCTTAGTTAACTAATAAAACACCTTTAACACTGAAAGCCACAGTCAACAAAAATGGTTAGTGATGTTACATTCCGTATTATTCTGGAACTTATACCAAGAACAGTATGGGCATATTTACTTAAACACACACACACACACTTAAAAAGAAACACAAATGCACGAAGAGAATAGATATGATCCCTCCCTGCACTCCCCTCAAGAAACCACGAATCCAGTTACTCTCTCTAGATCTACCTATCCTGGAATTCAAATAAAGAAAAGCATATCCCTGCAAACAAAAAACAAACAAAAAAACCCCAACCTACAGCAACAAATTAAAACCTCAATCTAAAAGAAAGCAGAGGGGGGAAGGGTAAAAAGAAGAGCTGATACCAAAGGCTCAAGTAGGAAGAAAATGTTTTGAAAATTAGGTATAAATTGTTTATAAGAGTTATAAGAGCCCCCAATAAAATGCTCTTTTAAGTTAAAAAAAATTTAAGAGCAGTAAAAGCCCCCAATAAAACAATTTTTTAATTAATTAAAAAATTTTAATAAAAGAAAGCAGAAAATATTAATAGAACAAACTTTAAATGTGTCAAGAAGGTCAAATGTTAAGGTGTTAAATCTTAACCTAACTGCGTCTGTAATAATCCACTCTCCAATGCACTTCACATTAGATAGCAAGGTTATCCACAACAGGGAGCTACTAACAATGACACAAGAAAGAAGAAAATGTTCTGAAAGTATTAAAATACACTGACAGACTAAAAAACCACTAACCAAATAACAGCAATTTGACTACTGTTCTTTATGAAACAATAAATGTATCATGCCTGCTCTTCAGAATACTGATGCAAAGAATATTATTTTAGTTGCTCCTTGCTCTGTGATCATCACAGATGTGGCTGGTCTCTCTCTATACAAGTCCACTGCTTGCAGTTTTACCATCTAGATACAAGCTACCCTTCCAAGAAGGTCCTAGAAAAACACATCAGGAATGCCAGCAGCTGACAGCCCCTTTCACCATGGGAAAGCTACCAAAGGAGCCTGTTGGCAAACACGTCCCTGGGCTTTCTAGTATTTCAGCTCTACCGAAATCCTCTGTCAGATCCTCACTTCCAACTCCAACAGTTAAACCGGAAAAATTTTCCAAGAAGTTCACCTGATATTAGCCCCTTTCTACACTTGTGAAAACTGCCCATATGAATGAGGCCAGTTGTTCAAGTCAAGAACAAAAGGTAAAGAAAAATTTGGTCTGGCAGGCTGGTTTTAGTTTATCTCTATTTTGAAAGATTGTGACTAGGAAAACAAAGCTCCCCTTTTTCCCCCCCACCCAGAATAAAAACTGAGTGTATTTTCTATTGCATTGTTCCTATTTGTTAAATTACGGATGAGAAAACCCCACATAAACCATACAATCCAAAAAGAACATGAAAAGGTCAAGACAAAGAAAAGCCCATTACATCATTAATCTATGACATTCATATTAAGAAAAACTCTATGATGATTTTGCTTGGCCTGTTTGTTTCTGTATTTCTTTACCTAAATAAAACCAAAATAAATATATCAATTTTACCTCAAAGTACTAACAATACCCACCTCAACTACCCCCTACTTATGTTCACTGGTTAGTTCTAGAATGTGGTTTTATAACGATATATATCTGCTTTGTTGACAACATCCATTGGCCTTTAATTTTTCAAACTGTATGAAGCAGCCACTCTGAATGGGGCGAACTAAAGGGTTCTGTAAGGCAGCAGTAGGACTTGAGTTCAAAGGACTCGTCCAGTTCTCTAAGAAGGTCTTTAAGGCTAGCAGACCACCTAGAGCTCCCAGAGCCTAAATGACATAAAGGAAGGATTTTTCTCTAAAATCATCGTAGAAAACACGGTCCTATCAACACTAAATTTCAAATTTTGGCCTCCATAATTGTGAGGAAAAAAATCTCTGTTCTGTTCATCAGCCAAAGTATAATAATTTGTTAAGACAGCCACAGGAAACTGATCTGGCAGCATGTATCTTGATTGTGATGTCAGTTATAGGAATCAAATGGATGACATATAATGACTCAAAGCTATACACATATACTGTATCAATGTCAATCATTATACAAAATCTCATTTTCCTTCAGAGGAAACCAGGGGAAAGATAAACAGGTCCTCCCTGTAACATTTTTGGGAATTCCTGTTCATCTTTATTTACTTCAGTAATAAAAACTTAAAAATATTTTTTTGTGTGGACAGACAACAACCACTACTCTCATCCCCTGAAGAAGCTGTTATTCTCTTACAACAACACAATTCAAAGATATTTTTCTCAAATGATACATGAATTCACAAAAAGGGACTGATTACAAATGTCTATCCTCTGAAAACAGGACAAATTTCAGCAAAGGTTAAGGAAAAATAAGTATACATAGGAAAACTCAATTTTACTTCATTTACTCATGTTCACATTTCGAGTGTTATATAAAACTCACCAACATTACAGCATGAATGATTTGAAGTAATACAAAGATTATGAATTCAACTAACAAATTATAGGTTTGCCTATTTAATTCATGCTGTCTCATTTTTTAACCAATTATAAGAGGGTAAGGCAGAAACTAGAGGGTGAACTACTGAAATTTTAGCAAGCGTTAAAAATCAAACATGACTGGTACAGATAGGAAATGAAAATCCAG